GTCAACTGTGGTCGAGGCTCGGTTGTATGGAACAAATTGGCGGGGCGGGCCCGATGGGCGTACTTTTTGTTTTTCGGTTCGCTGCGCGTACTCATTATGCGAGTTGTTGGTGGAGCCGTATTGTACGTTGTAAAGGTTGAGAGCGTTATTGAGCTCAGCTTGTCTAAGGTCGGCGTCGAGCGCGTTGTAAGTCCTCTCGAACTGCTTCTTGAGATGGCGTTTTGGCGGGCGCGTGGTCGCAGCGACGGTGGTGGTCGGTCGCGGGGTGGTCGTCGTGGTGGTGGTCGTGGTCGTGGTGGTCGTCGTCGTCCTTTGTTGGCAAAGTATGTTTTGCCAAATGTTTCATTTGGCAAAACATACATAGCGCTCGGCGGCCGCTGCCGCGGCACGCTTCGCTCGCCTTCGCGCGTTAAGGGTCACTGTTCTAACCTAACCTTACCTACTATTTTCTGCGATACCTACTTTCTGCAACCATACTATTTTCTGCAATTTCTTTGTTTTACATAAAATTCTTGTAAAAACCATGACCATCTGCCTTATGCTTTGATTTGTGGGTAACGATGGGTGGGTAAGTATGTGAAGTGTCAATTTGACCAAACAAATTATTTGGGATATAATATTTGGCAAAATAAAACATTTGCTATATAAACATTTGCCAAGTAAAATTTTGCCAAATGATAATTTGACCAAATGAATTAGTTGCGAAAAGTACAGTTGCTAAAAGTTCATTTGGGAAATGAAACTTTGGCGATAAGTTGTTTGCGAAGTGAAATTTGGCGAAAAGTAATTTGGCCAAACGGAAGGATACCGGATTAAACAGATACCTACACCGGAACCATTGACCGCTCGACATTTTTCAGTGCACTAAGCTGATATATCATGTACATAAGTACCTATTAACCTACACCTACAGGATGATTTTGTTATCTGTATCCTCAGATCATAGAAAGAGAATAGATATGAAGTCGCGCGTAACTACAACGAGAACCAGTGTCCCCACATTTCCCCCACCAGAGCTCCCACACACACATTCAACTGTGTAAAAACAAAGCGACTGAGAGTCTACGACAACATGTGCAACCGGCTTAAAAGTGCTGTGATTGGCCAGAAGGCATGCCTTATGGCCAATCAATGGCCGCGTGACGTGACGCACACTTTGAATAGGCTAGTGAGAGAACAAACATAAAATGGAGTCGACAAGATATCGATACTTTAAATCGCTAGGGGCAAGGTTCGAAACTGATTTCACAAAATGCTTATGTATGAAAACCTTTTTATTATTATACGTTATTATTAACTACTATCACGCATTTACTTTTTAATTATGGCGATCTGCGTACCGCATATGTTTATCATAAATAATGCCTATATTAGGCTTTCAACTAGCTCTTATAGTAATTACATAGTTGACAGATACTAATTACTTCTACTGTTTTTTTTTTTTGTAAAATCTTATAATCGCAAGTAACACACCATTTTTTTATTTAAAATTACAAAATAGAAAATTATAATTTACTTTTATTTATCGATAATAGGAAACCGCATTAGAACATGAGCACGGCACTATGTTGCGACCGGCACATGCGGCCGTACTGTGTATTTTCACACGGCCAGTGGATATCGGGAGAAATTAAATACATTGCGCAGTAGTTGAGCATGACATAAAGTGGTTGCTAACTAAATCGTCAATGTACAAGTGTGTTAGAATTTTTATCACCACTGATTTCGATATCGCAGTAACTGTTGCGGCACTGAATTCGTTCGTAAAAATGTTTAGTTTTTTTTATTTATAAGCAAAATACCAATGGATTTGCAATACTTACATGTAGTAAATGACTCCATTGTTCCTGTAGTTCTTCGTTTCACTTGTTTTATTGCACGTAACAACGCATTATCCAAAATATCGGAGAACATTTCCNTACTCAATATTTAATGTAAGTAATGTAATAATAGTATGACATTTTATTAATTTTATTATGAATATGTGTATGCTAAAATTCAGCTAAATGTGCAATGCTCAATTAAACCCTATGTATGTACCACATACTTTACAAATAAATATATTATATTCTATTCTAAGCTGTTAAGTACCTACTGACAAAGACGAAAAAACGATTTTATGTAATGTGCAAAAAAGATTTGAGTAAATACTGTTTCCTATTTCTCAAGCAATGTTTTTTGTTAATTAATTTGTAGGTATTTAAACGTTACTGACTAACCCGTGCCGTGCAATGCATGACGGTGCAAAAGCTATAAAATTTAATTTTATGGTTGCAACTTCCACTACTTTTCCTTAACTTGAGAATGAAGCGAAGAGATCACAGCACTCTTCTGATCTTCTCTATTTCTTCTACCGTGTAGATTGATTGTATTTGATTGATGTAGATTATTCTTCAGACTCAGATCAGCGACCCTTGACAGTCCACGCGACCTGTCATTTGCCTATGATCGCGCCGACGATGGCGATCTGCACGCATTGGTGTGGTTGAAGCATTGATCGCCATCGCCATCGCGCACGCAGGCTGTTCGGGTTGGTTTAGCCGAACCTTTAGGTGTATGACATGGCTTAATCGGACTCACAACGTATCTTCCCAAGCAAGGGATTATTATTTGTCATATCAGGTAGATAGAAACCTTTTTATATCCTAAAGAAACTGGGAACTAAAAAAATTCATTTTATACTGTGCTGTCCCACCTAAGAATCGAACTCAGGACCTCGGAGTCAAAAGAGTCTCACTCTTACCCCTGGACTAGGACACGTACACGTCTCATCCAGTGTAAGTAGCAATGCGCCTCTTCATTGATTTATTCTGCACCAAAAAGTCCACACATAATCGTAGCACATGTACTTATTCCATTCTACTGCTCGTAGTACAAACTCGGTTTAGGCTCTATGTACAGTCGCGGAATGAAAAGGTTCGTCACCTTAGTGTCGGTTTTCGCTTGCAGTAGGTACTGTAAGAGTCAAACCTGCCAACATAACCGTGCAAGAAACAGTGCTGCTAACATTTAAATAAATATGACGTTTGCTAACGAATAAGGTTTTGCTTGTTTATTTTTCCATCCCATCAGTGCAATGTTACAAAATGTAGTTTTTTTTATTTAATAGGTAATGGCAGGTTGAACCAACAAGAAGGTTTTAGTTTATCAATCATAATAATCTTCTTGACAAGTTAAATCGTCAACAACTTTGATCTGAATAATTTTGAACTTTACTGACGAACAGTTAAAGATTATTTTCTCTAACTCGAGATTATTCTGTAACATAGTTTCAAAAGGTAATATGTGCTCGCGATTCGTTGAAGGAATCAATTTGAAAACTGACGAACCTTTTCATTCCGTGACTGTACTATAAATAAGTACCTATGTAAAATTGAAAATCACTATAAATGTATTCAAAGAATCCTTATCAGGATTGACATAAAATTATTTGCAAAATCAAATCTAAGGCTGGTAAAACAAGGTAGTACAGCTCAGCCTAACTCTTTACATCTCAATAAATATTAACCATGACATGTATTTATGAATCCAACTACAGAACCGTAAGTAATCCAGTACGAGTAAAAGTCAACTGCATGCATAGCAATTAAAACAATAACAATTTGATTACATTTTTATTTTAAAATGTCATAAAATGATATCAACATCTTAATGTTAACATTGATAAATAGAATTGCCTTCATGCATTATTACATGAGTTTAATTTCATCGAATTATTTACAAATACAGTTGTTACATTTTATTGTCTTTTACGCAATGTAAAACAATTCAAAATATACAACACAATATTTTATTGTCACAAACATTAACATCTTACAATTATACATTATGCATTATTTATTTAATCTTAGGAAAAGAAACTTTGTTTTTAATAATATAAAATAGTGTTTCAAAAAATGAAAGACGAAGCTGTTATTACCTACTATTAATAAAAATAACAAATGCACAACTGCTACAATTCAAGTTACACAGATTGCATAAGATTTACCACCGTTAGAAGATACGATACGGTAAAATACATAAATATAGATTATTTTTACAGAATCAATTCTTATCAAAATTCATTTTTACTTTTATAGTTCTATGTCTACTATAAATTCATTCTTTTACTTACATACACTACAATTTACATGAAGTTCAATAGGAACTCCATGGGCTACACATTTTAACTCATAGGTAAGTACAAACTTGAATGAGCCGAATACATTATTTTAATATACTATTCGGAAGACAAATTTATTTATTACAAGTATTAAAATTTACAATCTAGCATATTTTTTCAGTACACAAAGAAATTAGGAAGTATTTTGATTGTTATGGAAGATTAGATATTTTATAGAAGAAGTATACATTTTATGAGACCCTTTGATTTCACTGAGAGACAGTAAAGTGTGTAATAAACCGAACACCGTCTCTTATTAATTGTTCTTAAATTTATCATTAGTTACAATACAATGTCAAAAATTGAGACGTTAGTGGTATTAGAACACCATAAATTTTTATTACTTTATAAAATACGAATAGGGGAGTCCCTTATTTAACTTAAAATGCAGGTATACAAAATGACAAGACTCTATTTAATTTATTTACTAATGAATAAGGTCATTAGTACCAAGTTATTCGTTGTCTCGAGTTTTTCTCAAAATGGTCTCGGTATTCATTATTTTCTTTCCAACGAAAATATATAAACGCCTCTATTATATAAATACATACATGCAAAACGCATAGCAGAACTAATGATAAATATATTTTGGTCTAGAATCTTAACTCTACGGCTATTGTCTTTACAATCGTATTGTCATACAGATATTAATACTAATATTTACTTACATAGTACTAATAATATAAATATCAATATATTTTTACATTTCTAAATTATATCAAAAGTTATTACATAATCTAAACAACTTATTGTATTATGTCAAAAAATCAGACGAGTTGATAAAACGATTGCGTATTCGAATAATTTTTGCGAAAAATCTTAAACGGCCATTGATATGACATTGTTGATATTACCAATTAATAAATCTAACATGATTCAGGAATTCAAATTCTTATTATTATCAATTTTGATCTTTATTGTCATTATAAGGCTATAAATAATCTGCCCAACGTCAACAGAGCTTAGGTACTTAACAACCGCAATATACGTACTTACAAAATTCAACAGCCATGATTTCATCACTACCTATGCTATTCTGTATGTGTTTATGCCGCCGCGAGCAGAGCGAGGATTGTGAGCGCGACCGTGTCAACTGTGGTCGAGGCTCGGTTGTATGGAACAAATTGGCGGGGCGGGCCCGATGGGCGTACTTTTTGTTTTTCGGTCCGCTGCGCGTACTCATTATGCGAGTTGTTGGTGGAGCCGTATTGTACGTTGTAAAGGTTGAGAGCGTTATTGAGCTCAGCTTGTCTAAGGTCGGCGTCGAGCGCGTTGTAAGTCCTCTCGAACTGCTTCTTGAGATGGCGTTTTGGCGGGCGCGTGGTCGCAGCGACGGTGGTGGTCGGTCGCGGGGTGGTCGTCGTGGTGGTGGTCGTGGTCGTGGTGGTCGTCGTCGTCCTTTGCGGCGTTTCTGTTGAGAATTAAATTTTTATGTTTAGTATAATGTCGGAAGTTTAAGGTTAATTATTTTATGTAAGCATATTATGAATACCAGTCGCTATCAATTTGTTTGTTTCACTTTGATAAAAATAGCGAAACTGTTTTCCGTCTTCAGCGAAAAATACCGTCTAGTAAACAGTGTGCCTACCATGAGTTTACGTTAGGTGAGCTCGCTAGCGAATACGTCAAAAAATTGTATGAAGATCTTATTTCTTGAAAGTAGCCACTAGGGGCGCTGCACAATATGTCATACATTTAAATGTCATTTTTTTACGCAGTCGCTAGCGAGCACACCTAACGTAAACTCATGGTAGGCACACAGAACCATTTAAACGGGAGTTTGTTTTCGAATACTTTTGAGAAGTTTTATAGCGCATAGCTACAATCTACTTTAGGAATCATTTCAAATTAAACTTTCATTGAACCCGTGAGGAAATTAAACAGAAGAAAATAGGAGGAATTTGAACTTAAGTATCGACTTTTCTCCAGTGTAAAGCAGATGGCATGTTAAAAACAAAAGCTTTATTAGCTAAGCTTAGTATTTCTTTTTTTTTTTTGTATTTAAGGCATATTGGACCGAGGGCATCATAAAGTTAGGGGAAGCGCTGGACGCAGGCCGTAACCAATCGATCAACATGGAAACTATGTTCAGCAGTGGACGTCCTATGGCTAAAATGATGATAATGATGTGACGATGAAGGTATATTATGCAAATACACACCTTTCAATATAACGACGCCTTCAGCCCGGCCGTATCCATTGACGGCTGAGCAGGAGTACTCTCCAAAGTCACTCTTCTTCAGCCGGTTGATGGTGAGGTTCATGCGCAGCGCGTACTCGTTGTAGCTCTGCTCCGATATTATGTACTTGGAGCTGTTCAGCAGCTTCCCACCTAGGAATAGAAGAGAAGAAGGGTTATTGCAAGAATTCCGTACAAAACAGGGCTGCCAGATGGTTGAGATTTAGCGAGTCTCCCAAACTTTTGTGTGTTCTCCCGACTCCCAAAAAAGTGAAAATCTCCCGAAAAAACCGCTTGATCCCAACGAGTCACACTGGTACTGATCACAAACATTAAATACCTTTAATATCAGGATATAATGCTTTCATTATAAAGAGACAATGTACAAAATACATAAAAATCAATATAATTAAGTAATCTAAAGCTTGCAGTAAGAAAATACAGCTTTACGAGTAGGGGTGTGACTGGATGGGATTTTTTTCCCCAACGAATAACAGGGTTTCCTACTCTTTTTGGTGTGACTCGTTGGAAACTTTCCTGCCCCAACGGCCATCGTCTCTACGAGCTATGTGCCCCGCCCACTGCCACTTGATTTTAGCAATTCTGCGAGCTATGTCGGTAACTTTAGTTCTCCTGCGGATCTCCTCATTTCTGATTCGATCACGCAGGGAGACTCCGAGCATAGCCCGCTCCATCGCCCTTTGGGTGACCTTGAGCCTTCTTATGAGGCCCATAGTAAGCGACCACGTCTCAGATCCGTATACCATCACTGGCAACACGCATTGGTCAAATACTTTCGACTTGAGACACTGCGGTATTTCGGACGTGAGTATATGGCGAAGCTTCCCGAACGCTGCCCATCCGAGTTGGATACGGGCAGCGCAGGACCGTTCATTGTGGAAAACCTTGGGAGAGGCCTTTGTCCAGCAGTGGACGTACGATACGAAATTTCACTTACTCGGGAGCTATCTTGCTCATAGCTAAAAGTTAAACCGAACCCTGGTATTCAGAATTAAGTTTAAAGCGGAAAGGATCTAAAGTAACCTACAACCATTTTATAGATCGTTTCATTCACGAAGACGCGCCCCACCCATTTTTGGCGAGGGAAGCGCGGGGTGCTGGGAGTTTGATCCGAGCAATCCGAGCGTCATTATTGTAGTGTGCGTGTGCACTGTGCACTCATGGATTATTTAGCACGTACCGATAACACTCAAACATTAGCGGAAGAATGGTGGGGCGCGTCTTCCTGGATGAAATGATCTATATATACCTAGATGGACAAAGTCGAGACTTCACATAAAGTTTCAAACTCTGAACAACAATCGAATTATCGTATTATAAATGATGCTCCTTTGAAAACTTCATCCAGAATGAATATCCAAACGATCAATCNAATCAATCTACTTATAACGAAAACAAGGTGACACATGTACAAATTGATATGAAAATATTCTTCCAAGGTTACGTTTTGTGATGAGATTTTGTGGAATTCAAAATATAAAGCGGCTTGCAGACTTATTTCTCAGAAAAACGGACTTTTATCGTAAACGCTCCGATTTATTGCGTGAATGCTAAGCAATATGGTATGAATATTTTTACTGGAAATATCTCAATACACGATATCTCACCAAATGAGTGGTTTTTGATATCATTTATCGGAATTCTATCAAACAGTTTTCTACAATTCCGAAATCCATTTCTAAATAGAATCCGAAATTAATAAAGCCTTTAAGTTACGTTAGAATAAATGTGGCTAAAAAGTAATGTAGGTACGTGTACCTACGTTGTGTAAGTCTTCATCTTTACATTTTACATAGTACCTATAAAAAACAGTCACTCCCGCTGTCTGTACGCTTAGATTCATTAGTTACAGTTTCATTAGTTTTCAGTTTTCAGCAACAGATAGAGTGATTCTAGAAGAAGGTTTTTAAGAACATAGCACCCGTGCAAAGCCGGGGCGGGTCGCTATTATAGTAGGTGCAGGCAGCTTCAAATAATTCGTAACACCCAAAGTAGCCAAAAAATTCGCAACACAACTTTGTTACAATTTGTTAAACAGATAAATTAAACTGTTGTCAACTTTTTGGCCATTTTTGGTTTCACGATCTATTTGAAGCTGACTATACATAGTTGTTCGCTGTAATGTATTCCGTAATACTCACTCGCTTGAGACTTCCCTCGCTGCCAAGTGTTCAGCGACTTGGGCGAGGCCTCCACGTAGCACTGCAGCGTGACTTGCATGTCCACGGATCGCAGCACCACTGGACTGTCCACCCGCACTGACGGCTCGACTGTATTACGAAACAGATATTTTTAAGACTCAATAATGTAGATAAATCTCTACAAAATATAAGACCCAATTTCACGAATAAACGTTAAATTATCACTAACAAGCAGTTCCACCGTAATAGACTTTTTAAAATCTTCTCTACACCTTAAATCGACTGTTAAAATTGTCCTATTCTGAACTCGGCTCTTAAAGTTTGATGCCTAATTTTTACAACGCAGCTACGATGTGTATTGTTGCGATAAAATTCCGTCGAAAAACAAGCCAATGTAAAATATTTTACTTGAATAATTCTAAAGAAAGTTATATAATCAAAATTATGCAATACCTTACCACAAACACATTCTTAGAATTCCTCTACGTTGAAGCAAAGTGTAAATCTAACCAATCTAAAGTACTTGCGTTTCAATATAAACGGTAAGTGAACGCTTTGAAACGATTGAGTATTCTAATTACAGTCTTTGATAGAGCTAAAGAAATTCTTGCAAGTTTCATTCGGTATAACAGTATTTTAATCGCTTTGATGATCCCTAACCAGGGCAATAGAAAGAGAAAACAAAGGAAACTTGAATGCCTACTACAAATTGTTCGGGATGAAATAAAAGCAACACTTGGCCAATAGGAAGCTCAATTACTTTTGATTACCTACTCCGTTTGAAGAATAAGCGTTGGGACTGAAACAGATTTAGTCGCAGTGTTTTGTTTTTGTTTTGATTCATTGGAACCTTTACGTTAACTTTGAGTTAATGGAATGTGATTAAATCAGCCCCATGCCACAGTCGACATTGTTTCCGTGATTGTTTATCACATTCTTAGAGATGAGGACGACGTAAACCGTAGATGTAATGTTAATATGACCGTAAGTCAACAAACTATCTATCACGACATCTTAATTACTCGTTAAACTGTCAAAGTTTCTTGAAATAGGTCCTTGATCTAATAGAGGTCGCCTACGAGTAAAACGGGTCGACCAAAAACAATGTAATTAAAAGTCTTAAACAAATCTTATAGAAATCACCGTACGTTAGTAACTTGATTACCTCTAAATAAAGTTTACGAGAGACAATCTAAGCAAAAAGGTTAACTATAAATTAAGTCAACCCAATTAACTTAACACAAGCCTTGTCCAAAAGTTTGGTTAAGGATCGAAGTTAGATAGGTACTTTGTTTTCTAAAGCCTCACAAAATTTCCCTTCGAATAAATTCGCCTTTGGCTAAGTGTTCAGCCTTGCGAAATTTATTTGGAGATATAGCCAAGTGTGTAAATTTTATTTAGGTCTACGAAAGTAAAAGCATTATTTTGTACATATTTTCTAACTTTGTCTAGACAAAGACTTTGCGCTAGCGCAAAGTGACTAGGTGTATAATTTGATATGACCGTTGCCCGATTCGGTATAAAGAAGCGGGAAGTATTTTTGAGTAACCAGAGCTTTTCGGACAATGTAACGGCGCTGATCCTGGCCACACAGAAGTTGCATTAGTAAAATCATGAAAGACTTCTGGATTAAACAGATACCTACACCGCTCGACATTTTTCAATGCACTAAGCTGACGTATCATGTAGGTACATAAGTACCTATTAACCTACAGCTATACAGAATGATTTTGTTATCTGTATCCAAATTTTTTAATAAGCTCTATAGAACAATTTAATAATACAACTTTATGTTAATTATTCTTAATCGCGGTATTTTTCGATAATCATCCTGTATTACAGAAAAAGTGCGATTACTTACATAGTACAGAGACCTCGTAGCGCCGACTCTTGGTAGGGGGGACGCCATTTGCCGCGATGCACAAATACGTCCCCATGTCCGCCCGCTGCAGGTTCGACAGGGACAGTATGGAGCCCACGTAGTTGTCCACTACTGTTTAACAAACAAATAAAACAATTTTAATGGGAAAAAAGTAATAATTAAGTTAGGTAATTACTTAATTTTGAAGTGAATTAGAATTGAGCGATCTTTGTACTTTTACCAGCTTGAATACTTACAAAAATACAATAAAAAGACGTCTTAGGTAAATTAACATTCAAGAGTCAGTTGGGCACTTGGGCACGAAAACAACTAGGAGGGTTTGTTTTATTGACGCTGTTTTACTACGTCATTTAACCTGATTTAAAATCTGAGATACATTTTACTCGGTCTTTAGATGTAGCTGATCGTTGTTGTAATCATAATTAAAAAGCCCCTAATCCCCAACACGATTTCTACAACTTCAGAGCACGGTTATTATATCAAAAAGTCTCATTTAAACTCAAAGATATTTAGCCAAATACCAGCACAATTATATTTTGTATCAGAACCTAATTGCTACAGCCTTAATCTAAATTGGAGCTTACGCGGATAAGTACATCAGACGTCTTGGTGTAAGCCAAACAGGCTCATACATCAAGCGGGCACACACCCGCGCCTACGTTCTTACCTTAATTATATTTGCCATCGCTAATCTCCGCGTAACACTTTAATGAAAACAGTGCACAATCCGGCATTTAACGGTCGCCGTCAAATTAAATTTAAATGGAAATAATTTATCGCTTTATTATAGCATACGACCCTAAATCTCGGGCGCAGACATAAAATACTGCTCACGACGGAGCGCGTAATATCAAAGGCGGCCTTCTAATGTGACTGCTTTTCTGATTTTTAAAACAGGACATAGCTGAGTATACCTACTCGAGTGTATTCAAAAATGATGATGATGACAGAAGAAAGTAAAATAAAGAAAATGTTACCGAGCGCTCGCGCTCTTGCCAACAAAGTCAAAAGCACAACCTATCTTAAAATGAAAATTACCAAAACAAACAAAAATATTGCTTTTCTTAGTAATATAAAACATCTAACTTTAGGTAGGTAATAAATTTTCACACCTCTTAATAAGGGTGACCGGAATTAGTGTTTTGCTATTTAAGAAATAAATCAAGTTCATGCAAACATAGCATGTAATTGATTAATTAAACACATACTCGCCTATTAACTACAGGCAGAGTTAACAGCCCACTTTGCTATGCAATAGATTAACGTCCAAACTCGGGCATCAAAACATAAAACACGCTAGAATTAGTTTAGCATTCAATTACGTGGCAGCGTTAGTTTTCAGTAAGCGGATCATTTCGGTGTTCCAGAGAGTTTATCCAGGAAAATCCGACCAAAGCCACGAATTATGGTCACGTCAAGCTTGTATGAAATTGTGTTTTATTAACGGGATATAAAGTTGAGTTGCGACATGTCGTCGGCAAGTTGTAAAGACGTCGGCTCGATTCAGCAATTCCGTTATTATTGCCGGAGCACTAATTGTTTTCCAATTTAGCCGGGTCTCGACGATTTTCCGCCATAAACACTTACAAACGACTTTCAGAATTACTTAGAAACAATGAGATATAAATCGTCTTTGTAATGTATTTTAGTTACAAATTAACTAATTATGATTTGGTTAATATTTATCGGTTATTATAAAACTTGTGGATGGATTAATAAACGTCTTGATATCATAATAATATCATTCATAGATGCTTAAATTGTTTTTCTTGAGGAAAATCAAAACCAATTTGATGATTTATATTTTATTAAGCATAGAACATTACCCACCCTCCCCTTGGGTTTGGTAGAGAACGCGGACAAATTGTCAATTTGGTAAAAACAACTTCATAAAAGAGAACTTGGTGAGTAAATAATTATGAAGTGAGTGTAATAAAACAAAGTCGATATGCTTTATTGTCACTCTACATCTCTTCTAATCATAAAAATCCACAAAAACATATAATTTACCGGGCAAACAATAAAGTCTTATTTTATAGTTAGCTACGATGACGATATGATTGCAAAATGTAAGTTAGTTTAATCAACCATGTTCATTCGATAATTATTATTACGGAAAACACACAAACACTGATATAATGATTATTAGAAATTGACAGCGTTTGTAAGCAAAATAAAGTATCAATTTTCTTTAAAAAACGTTTATTAAATTGATTTAAATGTGTGAATGCAGTGAATGCATGTGTGAGTCTTTATGTGAAAACCTTGCACATTAGATTATAAAACCAAAAAAATAATTGAGAAATAGATAGAGACTTGATATTTTGTGGAGGTTACATGGCTGTCATATTCTAATTAGGTATTAAAAATTATGTTTTACCTAATTACCTTCTGTTTGAAAGTTTTTATGCTGGATATCCGTACAAAACCGATAGAGAATTATAAATAAATCTGCCATTGTTCGGTGTCACAAGTCAGTTTATCAATGAGGGTCTTAATTAAGAGCCGGTGACGTCACGTCCCGTCGCCTCCGAGATACGTAATTAACTAATCATGTAGATTGATTATTGAGTGAGAAAAAATACTTATGTTATAATAGATAAGGTCACAAAAGATATTCATATAAGGTATAATGTGAGCAGTAGGGTTTTGTGATGATGATAATGATGATGGTGTGTTCTTGATTGGGTCCACCCATCGATTAAGTTAAAGCACGTGACGTTTTGAAATCATTTATTTTATTTACATTACGAATGGACGCTATTTTTCTACCACAAAATTCAAACCTTTTTAACTACACTGTTCCGTGGGCCATTTTGATACAAGTGTAAATCATTTTAGATCTGACTTCTCTACTACCCTAGCCTAGAATATAAAGCACACTATCACTCTACAAGCTTTGATAGTTTCTATCATAAAAAATTAATGTTTAATTAGATACTAAAGATGTAAGACAGTAAAAAAATCTTATCTCTATGTCGTGAATAAACGCGATTAAATCGTAAGTCTATCTACAAATACAATGGACCCGATTAGAAATCCTTTTTAAAAGAGATAATGGCGAGTCCCAGCAAATCTTTCCCATTTAGTGGAGCGTGTATAACATGTCAATTAATACAAAGCCAGCGCCGCCACTCTGTTAACTATTACAGCCTTCCTCCGTTTACAGAAGCCAGTCTTTTGTTTATGCTTAATGGCTTAAATGAAACGGGTCAAATCCGTAAAACACCGCCCTGAAAAGGTTTAAATGGCCGCTACGGGACTACCAATTCCAACCCTAATACCTGAACATTAAAGCATAAATTACCCTGCCGGATTACACCCGATTAAAAGGACAGCCGTGCATAATGTGTTGGAATGACTTGTACTATAATTGTTCCGAACTCCTGTCTTTTCACCTACTGTTTTCGGTTACGTGTAAAGGGCGGGTCGTTATAACTATAAGAGGTAAGCTTTTGTTACGTTGATTTTCACTAATCCGTTCATTTAATTTCCTGGCCTGAGCCCGGATTGCTTCAATATTTTGTTTAAGTAGTAATTGAGTTCTTTGAACACGTTTTTTCCACGGAAATGAATTCCAGCCATCGCGCGGGGGCCACTTACTTTTGTAATGTAAAAATGTTGACAGCCCATTCGGGTAAAAGCAGGAATATAAAGGAAAAATAGGTGCTTATTGAAGTTTGACTGGGGTGCGTTTGGATTGTATAAAAGTTGTTTACCTTATTTTACGTATGAAAACAATTTTAACATAACACCATGTGCGATTGTGGTCAAATACCTGCCTAGTTATGCATAAAAAAATATTAACTATTTTTCTATAAATAAAAACTAATCTAAAATCTTTTTTTCCCATAGTATTAAAGTATTCATTTTTATTTACATTCATTTTAGGTTTCTTTATTTCTTTATCTTTTATTTAGTCTGTGTTAAAAGCAATAGTCCTCGCTCCGTTAACCTTTACTCTCTTTAGCGCCGTTAGACTTGAATCGAAAACAAGAAAGTTCGCACACAAGCACTGAATCGCTTATCTAAACCGTGCATAACCCTAACTTCCAATAGAGCTGGCTTCCATTTGTCACACTGAGTCATATTATTTGTGTTTCTTTCCGATATCTTACAGCAATATCTTATTAAATCCCATAAAAGTCCAATGTTTTAACCACGCAGCCACCTGCGCCCGCCCGTCGGGCTTTGAATTCAAAATTAGTCTTGTTTCTTTTTTACCACTTAGTCGGATCTCACCGATGCGAATGAAATTCAAAGGAAAATTGACGTTTTATGTCCTGCTTTTTATGCTTTCAGGGCGAACGAACGTCGATTATTCTCTTTAATTTGGAACAACAGCAGCGAACGTAATAAATCTGCGAAGCAAATAAAACTTATTGCGGATAGCGCAAGTAGCTGCGTAATTATTTAGGCTGAGTTGAACCATCTTATGTTGACTTTAAAAACGTGAAAAATCTGTCAAAGTCCTTACAAAAAGCACCGGTTATTGTTAAAGTAAATTGGTGCAACTCAGCCTTAAACTACTAACTACTTTAAACAGGTTCCATCAGGTCCAGCTTCGATCAAAGTTTTTTAAGTACTTGACAAGCTGTTAAGAATAAAAATCTCGTTTGGGTAATTTTGTTCCCACTTTGGTTAATAAGTTTTGATTAACATTTAGTACTTTGAAAAGCAAGTGAGAATAAGTTATGTCAGCCGCCTAATTGGGGCTTATTAGATCCTGACTACACAGGAGTTGCAGCGGTGGGATCGAGAGATGGGAATAGTCCCGTTATTGGGGGATTATTAATGAATGTGAAAATGCGACATCAGTTGATACAACGAAATGACAAATGACAACTTACTTTTCTCCTTCTCCTCTCGGAACACAATGTTCCTGCCCTCCGTCCTCCTCCACGCTATAGTAGGAGTTGGTACTCCAGTAGCGGTGCACCTCAGCTCCACAGAGCCACCTTCAGGCGCGCTGGCCTGCGACCCATCTTCATCGGCGATGTCCGGCGGAATCACCACTGAGAGGTGACCCATCTGTGGAAGAAAACCATTGTTAGAACCAACATGAAAAATCTAAAAAACTATATAATCAGGTAAAAAACAGCTGCTATAAATAGTAACAAAGTGTAATACCAGTTACACCATCAATGTCTAATTTTTAAGTGACCCTACTTAAAAAATAGGAATCGATGATGTAAACGGGCATAAATGTCCCACAGTTATCTGCCAAAATTTCGGAGCATTATGTAATCATCCCAATGTGTCTGCTGATGCTAAATATTATCGCTGAAATTGCAATTAATACCTTTAGATAAAATTGATGCCATATTATATTACCTACTTATCTACTTATTCGTATGTAGAGTTATGTAATTTGACGGTTGGACGAAATACGTAATACAGATTGTTTTATTACGTTGATGATAGATCGTCCAAATTAAAAAAAAAGTATAGTATATTGCACGGATTTAATACTAATCTATCTGAAGTAATGAGGCAATAATCATAACCATTCCTTTTGACTTTGCCGTAGTCGGATGATTTTACCAACCAACATGCAAAAATATAAGTTTACAAATGTGAGTTAAGCTTACTCGTATCTAGGTACTGTGGTTTACCCGCAAACTAGTGAAAAAAGTAAATCTGAGAGACAGTTTTAATTAACTTTTTCGTTCTACTTCGTTCAGTCGTTAACAATGGAAATGATTCCGTGAAAAGTGAACATTTTTATTTCAATTAGATCCTCATTTAAGTACCTATATTATTACACTTTAAACAAAGTGGTATAAAATAAAAGTCTATTGTATATTAACTGAGACGCAACGTAGACGTAAATAGATGTTTTGAGTAAAAGACATTCATGGATTAACTTGTAGTTAAGTAACTTTCTTAAATCTTTCTGTAAGATCTTTTTTGCCGTTTACATTTTACTCCTTACTAATTATGGATTTCCACAAAATAACGCCTGATAGCGTCCATATGATTAAATTGTCCTCTTATTTAAATTAAATAGGTACCTACTCAAAATTTATTCTTAACCACTAAAAGACAAACATGTTTTAAAATTAATGCAAGCAGAAGTAACGAAACTTTGTGAGAGCTTCGTACGTCTCGTACTGTACTGTATAAATTGAAAACTTTGCATAGATAGAAGTTTTACTCTTACAGCGATACCATAATGCTCCGTAACTCAGTGGTTAGAGTTAAAGAAATATAGACTCTATAAATCTTGGGTAAGATTCCCAAGTAAGACTTAGATGGAAATATTTCCCAAATAAATACAATTTTGTACCTACAGAAGCTAATAAACCGAAAGTCCCAAGCCACACTAATGTTACCTACAGTTACGAATCAGTAGCAACGTTGAGTACTATTTTACGTGGATAACATTATAAATTACATCTTCCAATTCTAATTAGTTATAATAACTAACAACAAAAGGTTTTAATAACATTTAACCATATGAATATGACATAATATTTCTTCTCCATCTTCGTTACATTTGAGACGTCTCCTTAATGATGGTTATGAGAGATAATCCATCAGAAACAAAGAAAATCTTTGCAAAAAAGCTAAAACGGATCAATGTAATCCTAGAGGGTCAAGGTACTAAAGCCCTCTAACGAGATAAGGCCTGTTCTGGACACGACCTCTATGTTTGTATTTTTTTTAATATGCTTTTCCCCTGGGTTCACTCACGTAGGTTTTCTGGCTGTCCTAGAAGGTAATTGTACCAGTATACAGGGTGTTAGGTAAATGGGTATATAAGCCGACACTAGCCCATGTTAACATATACATATAAATGGTATGGTGAAGTCAGAAATTTGATATCATAATTTTAATTTTTTAATGTTCATACAAAATAAAATTTACAAAATCAGATTTGTATGAAAATTAAAATAATTAAAATGAAGATATCAATTTTCTGACTTCACCATACCATTTATATGACCATGTTAACATGGGCTAGTGTCGGCTCATATACCCATTTACCTAACACCCTGTATATGAAATGTTAGGGTAAAATATGAAATTGAACATCGAGAAGTAAGTACAAAAGTAAATGCCCACTTTATTTAGACGACTATAATAAATTATTCTATCACTAGGATAATATGTGATCTCTTCAGACAACTTGGAGAATCATGACAGTCAAATCTTATGCAATTTCCTATACATACTTATTTGAATCTCTCATACCTGAACTGAACCTAAAAGGAGCTGTATATGTACTTAATATGTCCCTATACAAGTATAGAATGTTAATTTCTTAATAGATAAGAACAAATTAATCAAACACATGGGAATAGCCTTTACATATCAGCACAAACAAGTAATTTGCTACTCGTCCCCTATCGGAATGGAACAAAACACTACTCGGCACGCAACAATTATATGGAAACCGACATCGATTAAGCAACCCCTTATCGGGGCGGGATCGGAATCTGATAGTTTATACAAGTCTGTTGTCCCTCAATCTAATAATGTAGAGGCAGGGGCCCGTGAATGTTGCATGAAGACGTATTGTTCCCATCCCGCCGTGGTCCGACTTTGACAAAATTCCTGGGACGCCGGCCCGACGGGCTCTCAGACATTTGTTACGTTAAGATACAAAAATCGCCACTCTCTATTCCGTCGGAATCCTCGAAATCCTCAACGTCCTTTGAATATAAACCTTATCTTCACCTCGCAATAACATCTTTCGACGGCGAGCTTTAAATAAACAAAAGTTTGTTAATATCCCGCCCAGATAATCAGACTGAAATTGAAACGGGTGTTTGCTCAAATGCGCCAGCTAAACGCTGTAGTTCAATCACAGAATGCATGCAATCGCAGAACGTCTGCAAACTGGACGTAATCTAAACACTTGCGTTTAATAACGGATGCTTGTATAAGCGGAGTAAAGAAGCGTTTCTCGCTTTTAAAATGTATTATGCAAATTCCCGATAACATAATGTAGTGTATTGTACGTCGCGAGCGGAGGAACGCGAGGACGCAGACGGTACTCGCTGCGGGACGAAGAAACCCCGATACACGTCACGGCGGACTTTGACAAAATTCCTCGCGAGCGTGCCCCGAGCAGGCACTAAACGGGTCGCATTCCTCATGCAAATATGTACGAGTTATAATTTTAAAACTCCGTGCAATATTAAACTTTTCGTCATGAACAAAATAACGACTGTAGAAACGCAACGTTGCTATTTTGTTTCATTTCCCATTCGCGTCAAAGAGATATTATGATAAAGCAGGGCGTTTGCTGTTTCCACGTTTCGCTGCAGTGTAAATTCTTATACAGACAGTTTCATGTCACATGAATTATGCAGATTCCTAGTGCAGGCTAGAGGCGAGTGAATCGGGGATATGCATCCAGAGAGCACGACCTTTATCCTCGCTACTTACTAATGTATAAATATTGTCTTTGCTTTGTAGCGGCGCCATTACACAGCTGCGTAGACGTGAAAGACATTTCCTGCGGAATATGTAGACGGGTAAATATCGTAACCATGTGACGTTGTGCTCTATTCAAAATCACTAGCAAGATTGTTGGCGTGTAAATATCAATATCATACCTATCTACACAAAGATTCTAAAAAGTGCTACATTTCAGAAGCTATTTCTTTGGCAACTTCTGTAATAGGATTCAATTTTTTTTTCAGGTGTTTTATACATATAGTAAATCTAACTAATATTTTACATTCAAGATTCACTACCTTTAATACCTACTGTTTTTGAATAGATTTCAACTAAGACCCATTTTTAGGAGTTTTAAGAAATAAAGTAAAAAAATTTAATAAGACCACAAGAGGGCACGTCATCAGGGTCACGGAGGTTTAATTTGAGGATTTCAGCGGCAAACGGCACACACTGCTAGACATGGAGAATATAAAACAGTTGGCTGCTGGATTTTATTCTTATTCCCGTTAATTTTATTCCTGTCACGACGCGTGGCGGATTATAATAAAAATACGCAATCATGGGAGCGGAGCGAGGCAAGAAGCAAGTCACGTCTGGGTGCGAACTAAACCTTCATTTCGTCGTGCGGGCATCAACAGGTAAGTGAGTCATTTGTTTTCCGTGTGAAATATTCGTCTTAAGGGAGGCCGTGACGCGGGCGAGACCGGGGCGACGGTAGGACGCGCAAAAACACAAGGCTATTTTGGCAGACCATTTAACAAAGACAGTAAGAATTAAGCAGTACAGAAGGCTTTTAAGCTGAGTGAGCTTGCAGCGGAATTTGTATGTGAGCTGAAAATTTTCTTTTGAAAGGAAAATGTCGAGTGTTTTTCTTCTGAATGTTAATACAATCTTGATACTTATGCCTAGCGTTTATTTACTTACAGCTTATAAAATAAAGTGACTTTCAAACTGGATGTTATTTTATAGAACAGAGTTTTACTTATCTTACCGAGCCCACGACAAATAGTTTTGTCGTTAAATACTGAATTTTATCGTGTGCAAAGTTCATATTTAAACAAAACTTAAGTCTTTCATTAAATACTCTCAGTGTTGTTAAATGCAGTATTAATATTCATTCGATTTCGAGCCTATCAAGCCGTCCATTAATCTTTGTGAGAGTCTATTAAGCTTTCAACATGTTAGTTTAAACTTTTGGGTGAGCTTCACGCTACCTTACTTTTCACCTCCGTGACTTAAAGCTCATTTGTTCTATGGTTGTTTTAGTAGTTCGTACAGTTTACTGCTAACACGATTACGAGTTCAATTATTAATTTAAATTGAGTTTGAGAATTGATTTCTATAAATCTGCTTGAAAAAGTCATTTTGAATTTAAGAAACAAATAACATAGGTAAAAAGAAACATACCTACGTACATACATATTATAAGGGTTGGTTCTTTATATACAAAAATGAAAGGAGGACCTATAAAACACAATATTTACCTACACCATTAACTATAAAAAATGAAAAATTTTGACACAGTTTGAGCAGGTTCTCTCCTTGAGTAGACTGGTCCACTAGACTGTCAATATAACATGAAATCCTTTGAAATAAAAAAAATGATTTTGTTTTTCCAG